CTGTCCCCCTAACTCTTAGTAACCACTAATAAACTTTAGTCTCTATACGTTTACCTATTCTGGATGTTTCATGTAAGTGGGATTATAGAATATTTGTCTCTCTGTGACTGAATTATTTCACTCATCATAATGTTTTCAAGGTTCATCTATGTTGTATCATGTATCAGGACGTCATTTCTCTTTATGGCTGAATAATATCCCATTGTGTATGTACCATATTTTCATTCATGTGCTTTGGGAAAACATAAAAAATTTACACCTTCCTTTAATACTATTTCAAATTAAAAGTATATAAATATTATAGTTAAAATAATTGTGGAAAAAATAAGAAAGCTCATAAACTGCTGGAATTATATAGGAAAGTTGCTGATACATATACCTTGGAGCTCAACGCTTCTACTGCTAAGTAGAACCAGAAGATGTGTACAAAAATATCCATAACAGTATTACATATAGTAACCGTAAACTGATGACAACACAGATGCCCATCAATAGTACAAAAATCAGTCACTAGAAAATGACATCAAGATAATCTAGATGTTGGAATTAGCAGATAAGGACTGTTATGCAGCTATTATAAATATGTTCAGAGACAGAAAGGAAAATATGGTCATCATGAAGGAACAGATGCAGAATCTCAGTGAAGAAATGGAAACTATAAAAAAGAACCAAATAGAAACTCTAGAACTGAAAAGTACAATTGCTAGAATTAAAAAAAAAAAATTGATGATCCTAATAGCAGATGGGAGATTGCTGAAGAAAATGCCAGTGAACTTGAAGTTGGATCCATAGAAATTATCTAGTTAGAAGAATACAGAAAAAGATTTTAAAAAAAGAAAAAAAAAAAAGAGGAAAAAGAGGGAATGGTATCTCAGTGACCTGTGGAACTATATCAGGTGAATTAAAATGTGTAGTTGGAGTCCCTGAGGAAAATAAAAGAGAGAATAATGCAAAAGAAAATTATTTGAAGAATTTCTGAAAAGCATCTTACAGATAATAAAAAACAAACTTATAGATCCATGACCCTCAGCGAATCCCAAGCAGGATAAATAAAAAGAAAACCATACCTAGCCATGCAAGCATATCATAACCAAACTGCTAAAACCAAAGGTAAAGGGAGACTCTTAAAAACAGCCAGAGAAAAACATCACATCACACACAGAGGAACAATGACACAAATGGTAACTGATGTTGTATCAGAACAATGAAGGCCAGATGACAAAGGAATGACACCTGTAAAGTGCTGAAAGAAATAAACTGTCAATCCAGAATTTGGTATGCAGCAAAAATGTCTGTCTAAAATGAAGGTGGAATAAAGATATCTAGAGCTATGCTACAAGAAATATTAAAGGAATATCTTCCAACTGAAGGAAAATGATACAAGATGGAAACTTGGATCAGTGGAAGAAATGAAAAGCACTGAAAATGATAAAAATGTAGGTGAATATAAAAGGACATATATGAGTACTTAAAATAAAAATTGTTACGCTATACTATAGAGATTATTATCTACTTATCTATATGTCTATCTGTATCTATATATCTGTATGTATATGCAAGGAAGTAAGTATAACTATTTTACCTCAAGATTTTTACATTATAAATGAAGCAGTACAATTTTAACTCTTAAGTAGGCTATAAGTTGGTGATACATATCCTCCCTAGAGCAACCACTATAAAATAATGCAAAGTGGTGAAAAAGTCAATAGAAGAATGAAAATGTAAAACTAAAAAATATTTCATAAACCCAAAAGGAGAGCAGAAGAACAAGAAAGGTGATGCAAATAGAAAACAAATAACAAAAATATAGCTATGATTCATCCATATCAATAATTACATTAAATTTCAGTGGACTAAATACATTAGTAAAAAGATTGGATAAGTCAAGACCAAACTATATACTGTCTACAAGAGACACACTTTATTAAATACAAAGACATACCACATACCATGCAGACAGTAAGCGTAGGAAAGCTAGAGTGGCAGTTTTAATTAAAAAAAACAAAATAGATTTAAAGACAAGGTGTGTTATCAGATAAAGAGGGGTATTTCATAATGATAAGTTGTCAGTTTATGATTATGTTTGCCCCTAGTAACAGAGCTTCAAAATACATAATGCAAAAAACTTAACAAAACAATGTGAGAAATAGACAATTCCATAATCATAGTTGGAGATTTTAATACTCTTCTGTCAGCAATTGATATAACTAGTAAAAGATTGGTAAGAATATAGAAATAAAAAAAGCAGTATTTAACAAAAATGGTCATACTTAGAGCCATACATTTCAAAGGACTGAAATCATACAGAATACACCTTCTAACCACAATTCTATTAATGTAGAAGTGACAACATGTTTTCTTATCAAAGGCTAAAGTTAATACCTTTACTATGAACATCACTATGCTAATATATTTGAAAAAAGTTAAAATAGATTAACCAAAACAATCTCAAGAAGAAATAATAAGCTGAATAGTAATTTAAATGTAAATTTAAATTAAAATCAGTAATTTAAAATCTTTTGGCAAAGCAAACTTCAGCTTCAGATGGTGTCTTCATTTAGTGTAGACCAGATTTTGGTCCAGTTTTCAGGCAACCAACCAAACTGTTAGATCTATTCCTAACCCTTGGAGCTGAAACATTGAATGCAGAATCTCTGCTTAGTGGGCCCATCTGAATAAATTCAGAATGATCCAACTTTACATTTCTTCTAACTTTATCCCACACCCTTCATATCCATTCCCACACATATCCCCTGGATTTCTATCTGTATAAATTTGAAAAATCATGTAGTTCTTTTGGAGTGTAGTGCACTTCCTCTTTGTACCTCACCTGAACATGCAGCATGCCTTATGGCCTAGCAATTCCAATCCTAGATGTATACT